CGATTTTTACTAAAATGTGTGTACTTGCTTATAGGCTGGTTTCGGTCGGATTTGCCAAAATTCATGCCATTTGGGCTGATATTGGCCATTTGATGCACAATTAACACGAAATCGGATGAAGATATATATGGGAGGCATATCCAAATCGGAACAGATTTTAATAAAATTAAAATCAACTATTTTTGGGCTTTATCTGATAACTGGTACCAAATATCATTTCTGTGGAGTGCATATTACGAATGTGAGGGATTTAAAGACGAAATCGGATGAAACATATATGGGAGCTATAGCTATATCTGAACCGATTTTTACTAAAATTGGTGTACTTGCTTCTAAGCTGGTTTCGGTCGGATTTGCCAAAATTGATGCTATTACGGCCATTTGGTGGTCAATAACCCGAAATCGGATGAAGATATATATGGGAGCTATATCCAAATCTGAACCGATTTCGATAAAATTTAAAACAGCTATTCCTGTGCTCCATCTAATACCTGGTACCAAATATCACGGTTGTGGAGTGAACATTACGAATGTAAGGGACTAAAACACTAAATCGGATGAAACATATATATGGTTGCTATATCTGTATCTGAACCGATTTTCACTAAATTTGATATACTTGCTTCTAGGCTGAATTTGGTCCGATGTACTAAAATTCAGTCCATTTGGACTTATATCGGCCATTTGGTGCACAATTAACCCGAAATCGGATGAAGATATATATGGGAGCTATATCCAAATCTGAACCGATTTCGATAAAATTACAAACAGCTATTTCTGGGCTGTACCTTATATCTGGTACCAAATATCACGGTTGTGGAGTGAACATTACGAATGTAAGGGACTAAAACACTAAATCGGATGAAACATATATATGCTTGCTATATCTATATCTGAACCGATTTTCACTAAATTTGATGTACTTGCTTCTAGGCTGAATTTGGTCCGATGTACTAAAATTCAGTCCATTTGGGCTTATATCGGCCATTTGGAGCACAATTAACCCGAAATCGGATGAAGATATATATGGGAGCTATATCCAAATCTGAACCGATTTTCTCCAAATTTGTTGTATTTACTTTAAGGCTAATATCGGTCACATGTGCCAAAATTCGGGCCATTTGGGCTGATATTGGCCATTTGGTGGTCAATTAACCCGAAATCGGATGAAGATATATATGGGAGCTATATCCAAATCTGAACCGATTTCGATAAAATTTAAAACAGCTATTTCTGTGCTCCATCTAATACCTGATACCAAATATCACGGTTGTGGAGTGCATAGTAGGAATGTGAGGGACTTAAAGATCAAATCGGATGAAAGATATATATGGGAGCTATAGCTATATCTGAACCGATTTTCTCCAAATTTGATATACTTGCTTCTAGGCCGAACCCGGTTAGGTGTGCCAAAATTCAGGTGATTTGGACTGATAGTGGACATTTGGTGCTCATTTAACCCGAAATCGGATGAAGATATATATGGGAGCTATATCTAAATTTGATCCGATTCTCACCAATTTCAATAGGGTTCGTCCTTGGGCCAAAAAAATATTGTTTGGAAAATTTCATCTCAATCGGATAATAAATGCGACCTGCATTTTGTTCACAAGAATACATGGACAGACGGACGGACGGACGGACGGACGGACGGACGGACGGACGGACAGACGGACGGACATGCATAAATCGACTCAGAAAGTGATTCTATGAAGGTTCTCAAAAGTAACTATGGGTCTATCTCGTTTCCTTCTCCATGTTACAAACAAATGCACAAAGACATAATACCCTTACCACTATGTGGTGTAGGGTATAAAAAATTAAATTCGTTAAAAATTCTGTTAAAATCTTAAAAAACCGAATGCTTATACGACGACGTGAACCTGCATAGACAACTTTTGACATAAGTTATTACAATATTAAAATGCGAAACTTGAAGAAAAATCTGTTTATAATGTAGCTTAAATCATCAAAATACCGAATATAGGGGATACCGTTATATGGGGGCTATACGAAGACGTGGACCTGCACAGACAATTTTCTGGCATGGGCTGAAGTATCCATTACGAACTTCACATGCGAAATTTGAAACAATCCCGTTAAATAATGTCGCTAAAATCATCAAAATACCGAATATCGGGGGGTACCGTAATATGGGGGCTACATGAAGACGTGGACCTACATGGCTAATTTTTTGACTTAGGATGTAGTATCCATTACGAACTTCAAATACCAAATTTGAAACGATTCCGGTAAACAATGTCGCTAAAATCATTAAAATACCGAATATCGGGGGGTACCGTTATATGGGGGCTACACGAAGACGTGGACCTGCACAGATAATATTCTGTCTTAGGCTGTAGTATCCATTACGAACTTCAAATGCCAAATTTGAAACAATTCCGGTGAATAATGTCGCTAAAATCATCAAAATATCGAATATCGGGAGGTACCGTTATATGGGGGCTATATGATAACTTGGACCTACATGGCCCATTTACGAACTTAACCTGCCTACTGGCAAAATATACATGTGTGCAAAATTTTAGCCTTCTATCTCAATTTGTTCGAAAGATAGCGTGATTACAACAGATAGACAGACAGACGGACATTGTTAAATCGTCTTTAAATTTTACGCTGATCAAGAATATATATACTTTGTTGGGTCTGACATGAGTATTTCGAGGAGTTACAAACGGAATGACAAAATTAATATACCCTCCATAGTATGGTGGAGTGTATAAAAAATAATAATTAAAAAAATCGACGTCTGAAAGTTTTTGTTGAATTCTTTTTAGAATATCTCTTTCATTATTTTACCCATCATTGGTCACTTATTTTTTCATTCAGGGCACACTGAAAATAGAAAGATTGCGAGGTGCTAAAAAATCTTCACCTATTTTTATACCCTCCACCATAGTGTGGAGGGTATATTAAGTTTGTCATGTGTTTGTGTAACACCTCGAAATATACATTTTAGACCCCGCAAAGTATATATATTCTTAATCAGAATAAAATTCTATATCGATTTAGCGTCCATCCGTCTGTGGAAATCACTCTAGCTTCCGAACGAAATGAAGTAGATTGATCAAATTTTACTCAAATGTATATTATGTCTGTAAGATTTTTATACCCTCCACCATACTATGGAGGGTATATTAATTTTGTCATTCCGTTTGTAACTCCTCGAAATACTCATGTCAGACCCAACAAAGTATATATATTCTTGATCAGCGTAAAATTTAAAGACGATTTAACAATGTCCGTCTGACTGTCTCTCTGTTGTAATCACGCTATCTTTCGAACAAATTGAGATAGAAGGCTAAAATTTTGCACACATGTATATTTTGCCAGTAGGCAGGTTAAGTTCGTAAATGGGCCATGTAGGTCCAAGTTATCATATAGCCCCCATATAACGGTACCTCCCGATATTCGATATTTTGATGATTTTAGCGACATTATTCACCGGAATTGTTTCAAATTTGGCATTTGAAGTTCGTAATGGATACTACAGCCTAAGACAGAATATTATCTGTGCAGGTCCACGTCTTCGTGTAGCCCCCATATAACGGTACCCCCCGATATTCGGTATTTTAATGATTTTAGCGACATTGTTTATCGGAATCGTTTCAAATTTGGTATTTGAAGTTCGTAATAGATACTACATCCTAAGTCAAAAAATGAGCGATGTAGGTCCACGTCTTCATGTAGCCTCCATATTACGGTACCCCCCGATATTCGGTATTTTGATGATTTTAGCGACACTATGTACCGGGATTGTTTCAAATTTCGCATGTGAAGTTCATAATGGATACTTCAGCCCATGCCAGAAAATTGTCTGTGAAGGTCCACGTCTACGTATAGCCCCCATATAACGGTACCCCCCATATTCGAAATTTTGATTATTTTAGCTACATTATAAACAGATTTTTCTTCAAGTTTCGCATTTAAATATTGTAATAACTTATGACAAAAGTTGCCTATGCAGGTCCACGTCGTTGTATAAGCATTCGGTATTTTTAAGATTTTAACAGAATTTTTAACGGATTTTATTTTTTTTTTTGGAAATTGCCAAATTTGTACCAAATGGTGGAGGGTATTAAAAGTTCGGCCCTGCCGAACTTACAGCTTTTTACTTGTTTTTAAATAAAAACTATGAAAGTTAACTTAAAATCTAATTTATATAAAAGCTATTGAAAATTATCCGAATATGTTTTTTATTGATATTTTAATAAAGACGAATAATAAAAGTTTTAAACAATAGCGTTCATGAATGCCCACCTATGAATTAGTGACTCCCACGCCAGATTCTTTTCTATATACGCCAGTGAGTTCAATCAGAGGGAAGGTGTTTACCCCAGAGAATCTGAATCACAGGTAAGAATAAAGAGATGCACAAAATAGTACGTTAGCGTTGTTTTCTCTTACGTTTGTGCTCCTATGCGCTTTCGTTAACCTTGTATTGTTATTTGATTTTTGTAATTACTTGGCAGATTTTACATTCTCTAATCATTTGAAAGTATGTAAACCTTAGCAAACACTTTTTTGGAAATATTTAAGAGAACTAGGATCTTTTCCTCCCTGCACACCAATGCTTTGTTTATATTTGGAGGCTTGCCATAGCTAGTTTATACATTGTATACATTTTATATCATTGATCGCATCGTGGTGAGAACGAGCTTCTCTTAAATATTTCAATAAGCCTTATGCTTGTTTTGTTCATTATCTATTATATTAAAAAGTACTATAAAGTAAAAAATTACAAATTCAATATAAACATTTTAGAAAAAAGTGAAATTCTCCATCTGTCAAGGTTTCAAAAACAGCGAACGTAAGAGAAATATACACGATCGTGCTGTTTTGTGTGTAAGCGGTTTATACGTTTTTCTTTCGTTTCGATGAAAATGTTTTTATTTATGTTCCAAAAATAATTTGGCAATGAGAGACTCTCTCGAACGTTGTCTCCACCCCAAAAATTATGACTACAAGAAATTTAAAAGCATTTCCATTGCAAATGAATTGTTCAGAAGATATCGAACGGGCGTAAAGCACACACAAACGACACGAGCGAAAAACCTTTAAATTACATCTAAAGATACTACAATAGAAATTGGATTTATTGCCTTGATTTTCCGACTCAATAGTTAAATCGAACGAAAATGGTTTACGAAAGTGGATTCACTACCCGCAGAACATACAGTTCCAGACCTGTTGTAACCTCATACTCGGTTTCGGTAAGCACCTCATAAATATTAATAAATAACGACAATCTAAAAGTACAATATGGTTATCTTTATGGACCCGACTAAATAAAAGCTATTAAAATTTTGTGGGTAGTGTGGATTTAATACATGGCATGAAGATTATCTTTAAGATCAATATAATAATATGAATCAGAAATCTGTACTAAAAACCTTTACATTCCAAAGAATTTTATGAAATATGCGAGACGTTGAGTGTATCTAATCTTGAATGCTCTGTGTCGTTATCATATACATCTATGCAATCCTTATATTCCGACATAAACAGTAGTATATGGTATTACTCACATTATAAATACATACACACATATTGGGATTTTAGCACAGATTTCTTATATATATAAAGCTTTTGTTTATGCTTCAACTTTATTTATAAAACTCCCAGATCGGAATTGAAACAAGTTTGAAAATACATTTAAGTTAAGTTTGGATTTAAATAAAAAAGTATCGCATTGTCATAACCAAACAAATACATTTATGCAGAAAAAAACACACAAGCATGTGTTAAACACATCTCCTTTATTAATAGATATTTATTTTTTAAGAAAATAATTTACCGAATTTAATATCTATGACACGGATTAATAACGGATTTTTTACAAATCGTTGTCTTAAAGAAGAAGTATAGACTACTTTGGCACAAAAAGAACATTCGGTTTAAAAAATTGAATTATTCATTTATTCACAGTCGATTTACATTCATATACTTATATTATATTATATTATATTAATCATTAATGTTTGTCCATTAAGGAAATGAAAGAAAAGTGGAAAAGTACGCATTCGCAATGAAATATATTTTTTAAGCCAACACTGTGTTTCATGTTAAAAACTATTATAGGTTGTATTACACAGATTTTGAATTTATTTAATTTGTCGATTAAAGCATCAACACTGAAAGAATTCAATTTTCATTAAAATTTGCTTTAGTAGTAACGTTGAATATTGGACAAACATATATTTTACGTTGTAAGACATTAACCTTCTTCTTTTTTGTATGGCATTTTCCTTTTGTCAGAACATAAACAAGTCCAAGGCAAAACAGTTCAATAGAATTTTAATGTTTACATTCACTTTGTATATTTATAAAAATAAATATATTACGCAATCTATATTTGCGATATGCTTCATACTACAAATGATAAACAGAAACAGAAAATATATAGACTCAAATATATAAAACGTATGTAAACGTACATATGCCATATACATACAATTCGAATTAGGTTTTCAATATAATTAATAAATTAATAATTGAGTCAAATATACATAAATGTTAAATATTAGTACATATATACTCTATATTCTTAATATATAACAATCTGCGGTTTTGATCACTTCCTATAGCAAATTGTTACAAGAACTTGCAATTATTCACATTCCAGCCGTCAAAAGATGGAAGAGTAAATACCAGACAAATAACAGAATCATTGAAATGCTTTCGCATTGCGCAATGCACCAACAAAATATTTTTTTGCTCATTTTCTACACATACACTATGTATGTAGTACTTATTTTCATAATACATCAATACCTTAATATTCAATGGGTAATGTAATATGCGCGCGCATTTGCAGTCATATTTCTATAAATAACTTTTTGGAAATGGTGTGTTTGGATGTTCTGCAAACATCGAAAGACGATTCACCATTAAACGCCTCCATATCAGAGTCAATATAAATATTTCGTAGAGCCTCGAAAATTTTTTATTCTTCTAAATATTTTAGTATGCTATAAGCATGTGTAGAATATGGATGACAGCTAAATTGCTAATTTCTGTGTCAAGTGTGTTCCTTTGTTTATGCATTTCATATAAATAGAGTCAGACACATATGAAAAACCATTAAATAAGAATAAAAAAACTGTGTATATATGTGTTGCTGACGTTGACATAGGTGTTCACGGTAGAATAATGCACAGCATATTGCAGCACAAAGTACATGTGCGTTTACAGCTGTGATTCAGAATGATTTTTTACATCATTTTGGATGGCATCAAGCGATGAGCATACGTATGTAAATAGAGTCTTGGATCGAGGGAGTATTTAGTACCAAACTAGAAGCGCAGAAGACCACATCATAGACAATTTTATTGATAAGGACTTGGACTTGATGTTATTGCAGACAAAAACCAATAGTGAAGATCCTGGAAATATAACTTTTTTACATACACAACAACGCTATGAAAACAATAGAATATTGATAATTTTTTTAACATATACATGACGAATTAATAATAAAAATTATATATGTATATAATGTTTGCTAGAGTTGCTAATCCTATAGGATATAATTTGGAAAATGTAAATAGGTAATTGAAAATAGGTTATTGAATATTGAATAGACCTGTAAATGACTATGATACTTTTTGCAGATGGTCGAATGATCAAAATACCTAATATATATAACCTTACTGAAAAAAATTAGCAAGTAATTTTTATATATTCAAAGAGTATCAAAATACATTGGATAGAGTGGTTTTAATTAAAATTATTTCGGAGGAAAGGAAATGTAGACACTTTGGTTCAGAATACAGAAAATCGGATGGTACCGTAAAATTGGACTTTTGTCAGTTACATTTCGTGCGTACCTGCTCTACTTCTTGGAAACTTTATATAGGACCTATGTATCATTATAAATCATTGTTATTTTTTTGGAATAGGATATCTGCCTATTAAAACACAGAAAATTTATTTATTTCAAATATTGTGTTTCTTAGAGCTATGAGAAAAACAACTACAAGACAACTCACAAGATATGGAACACATTGATCTTTAGTAATTGAATCGTCGATACCCTCCGACAAATGTGTCAATCCTTTAGAAGTTCAACATAATAATCATTTTTGTTCCATAAATAATATTTATTGCTGTTTAGTGTAAAATTCTAAAATCATGTGTGTCATTTCGTCCGTTTGTCTGCTGTAATCGAGTTATTTTCAAAGGGAAATGATATAGGGATATAGATCTAAAGTTTTCTACACGCATGTAAACTTATATCAAGCTCAGACATGGGCTCCGTCGATCCTTAGACGCGGATAATTTAGCACATTTTACATGGTTTCCTCTCTTCTGTTGACTTTCCCCGAAAAGTATTCCCAAATATATATTTAAAATCTTAGCGAATGATCTGTTCCAGAACCTGCAAGAATGCACTAGTTTTGCTATTTTGCTTCGATATCATGGGGGGGGAGGTGTTAAATCGGTTATCGTAGTAAGAACTTTTACATTCTTGCAGTTCTGGAACACAGTAATAGATTTATCCTTGTTCGTAAACGCTATCTGCAACCTCAATATAACGGTGCAGTCCACAAAAATTTTTGCAATAAAATTATTTGCGATTTGGTGTTTTGTTCTTCTAATTCAGTACCCTTTAGAAGCACAATTACAAAATCTCATACCTTGGGATTTGACAGTAATTGCTATTTCCTTCACAAACAGCTTCACTGGATTTTAGATATTTTCATCATTACACCATGATATGGTATTTTGTTTTCTTACATTGTGAGCAGTGACCCATCGTTGATTTTGTGATTTTTGGAAGATTCTCCACCATATATATGTATAGTGAATATTGAAAATGGTATAGACATTTTTCAGAAATTAACACAAAACCATAAACAATCGTACAAACAAAATGGAAAGTGAATAATGGTGCGAAAGAAACTAGCTATGTATATTAACTAATCATTAATATTTCATTGTACCTCTTTGCTTATAACTCTTTTAAACAATTAAAACTACCTGCAGTTGACATTCTAAGATATTTACTTTTTATTGCGTTTAAAGGAAATATTGCACTTGCACTTTGTATATTATAATAGTGCAAACACAGTGATTCCTAAAAACAAATCTTCAATTTCTTCAACTAATCTTCGGGTTTTGCTATAGCACTTCTCGGTGTGTAGTGACGGTAGGAAACGAGATATTTCAAAATAATTTTGTTAAACAGCAAATGTAAACCTTATTATGTAAATACCTATATGCCTATAAGTTGGTAATACCTAACTAAAACTCGCAATTTGCTGATTTATTTTAAATTACTCACCACCACACTACTCGCTTAGAAGCACGAATGCAACCTCCACTATACCTAACAAATTTGTTTTTGGAAAACAATGAAGAGATTTACAACGGTTGAGCAAAACTTGCTTTACACTACAATACCGCTTGTAAATATAATTGCAGCACTGATTTTATATAGAATATGTCGCACCCCAAACATATGTATGAAAAACCTTGAAAGTTATTACCATCATTCTTAATTTGAACATATATGGGCATTGCAGAAATATAAACCAACCGCTATGGACTGGGAAAAGTGTCCATTTGTTCCAAGGCCATCATTAATTTCGGACCCAGTAACGGCTTTTGGCCGCAGACGGCCCGAGCAAGAGAAACAAAATTCGATATTGGATCCTATAAATAGAGCAGCCATCAAGCCCAATTACAGGGTATTAAATGAACCAATACAACCGTATGTGCCTGCTCGTGACAAAAATCGGGAACGTATTCTCAGTATGGTACGAAGGCATATTGACACGGTAGATGCTGGAGGTAACACAGCTGCTCGCACTTCGAATGATAGTTTAGATACTGTTTTGCCAAGGATGCATCGAGCCGCGTCTGAATCACTTCCCGTTCGACGCGAAACATATCGCAATGAAAAGTCTGGTGCTCTGGTTACCAGATATATATATTGAATTTGTCTACACAATGCGTCTAATAATCTAATAATAGCTTTTTTTAAAGCCCGTACACACTTATAACTTTGTTTTAACTATTCCTTTTAACTTAAGTTTGCCTTATTCCAACAAATAATTTTAACTTTATTGCGTGGTTAGCAATGAAATAAGCAATGTAAATTCAAACCTGTTTCAATTACCACTAATTTGGTGTTAGTCGTAATTTTCGTCCTAATTCTGACTATTATGTTGATGAAAAACAGATAGAAATGGTCTAATTTTACTGAAAATTTTACTCACAAATTCGCAGACTCCTCGTTATGACTTGGTCAGCGCTGCACCAGGCACTCACCGTTCTCGTGGTTCCAGTGACTATTCGTACTCATACAAATCTTCGGTCGAAAAATCCAATTACGATTCCAGTAATCCTTATAGCAGACCAGAGCGTTATGAATCTAGCTACGAAACTACATCTCGCAGTGGACCTGGCGGATATAACTACACCACTGAACGTTCGAGCACACTTGGTGGGGGACCAGGTGGATACAGTTATTCTTCCACCACATCTGGAGTTTTGCCAGGTGGTTCCCGTTATCGTCATTTTTCGTATCGTGTTTGAAAACTTCATAATAATACTAACTACAAAATTGTATATCCCATTATAAATTTGAATATTTTATTTACGGTTGAAAATAATTGTCATACACATGTATAATACATAATTACGTAACATCACTAATTTATCAAATAAACGTAAAGTTATTATTAACAACAATCTGTGATGTGTTTATTATTCCTTTCATCAGTACTTTGAATGATAATGCGATATTCAATACATTAGGTATTTCTCATTCTATTTCAATCCGATCAACAAGTTAAATATATATAACTATTAATATATGTATGTATAAATAATGTATTTTTATTCCTCCTGATTTTCAGTATCCAAGTGTAACCAAGACAACACGTGTAAGTATAAAATATTCTTTAACAACTTATGCATATATACATGTACTTAATCCAAGACTCAACGGGTGGGTTTACTATGCGAAACTGACACATTTTATTATCTTGACTGCACATGGCTTGAGTATTTACAAAGTATATTTCACCTATTGAGTCCTGTTAACACTTTAAAGCTTTGTTGATTTTGCACAGATATTTAGAATATTTGTCGTACGATGTTGAAATATTTTAAGCATTATCATATTTTTATTTGACTTTAATGTGATTCCATTAAATAATGCCTTCTCCTTAGAATCATTTTTTTTGACTAAATGAGCAGCATGTATTTAGTTACTTTTGAATGTTTAAGGATAATAAATGAAAGCTGTGAATACATTCAGTATATTATTGGTAGATATATTGAATTTATTCACATTTATATTAGCTCAAATCATACCAAATTGCAATCAACTGCATTAGAAAATACCTTAGGAAACTCAAGATACTTTAAATAGGTGGGTGCGGTGTGGAAGCGAACCAATGTCTATGTTTGTTTTAACAATGAGTTAAATATACAAAGCGAAATACAATACCAAATAAAATCAATTTTGATGAAAAAGAGCTAAAATACTTTAATATGTTCCAAGTCGGGAGCTAACACTGCATACTTCTATATCATTTGCCAAGAAATAAAATAAAATGTGGTTACACAGCTGCTCGAGGTTCGGAAGATAGTGTAGGTCATTTATTCGAAATATGAGCGAGTTTCTGTCTTTCCACGAATTCGAGCTGGGTAAATGCAACAAGTTAGGTAATCCCAGTACAGGTACTTAAAACGTATAAAGTAAATGTCACTAAAGGTTTTCAGATGATACAATTCGAAATACTCTTTTAACAACAATAAAGTGGACGAAAATAAGTTTATTATATTAAATAAGTGTAGATAATACAAAATTCTTAATTAATAAAAACTATTAAAAAAGTATTAAGTTCGGCCGGGCCAAACTTGTAATACCCTCCACATTAGGGTAAAGGAAACATTAGAACCCATTATGACCCACAAATACCAATATTTAGACAAATCCGTGAAAAACCATCAAAATACCGAATATCGGGAGGTACCGTTATATGTGATCTATACCAAATCGTGGACCTATACATACAATGTTTCGCCACACGATCTAGGACCCTTTATTACCTAAAAATACTAATTTTCAGACAAATCAGTGAAAAAAATATGGCAAAAACCATCAAAATAGCGAATATCGGGAGGTACCGTTATATTGGGACTATACTAAAACGTGGACCGATATATCTCATTTTCAATACCAACCATCCTAGATATAATGCAAATTGTTCTGCTAAATTTTATGGGCTGTATTGTAATTTCAACAGACGGATATCGTTAAATCGACTTAAAATTTTATGCTGATTATGAATATACATATACTTTTTGGGGTCACGACGAATATTTATGGAGGTATAAAAAACCCAAGGTGGAGGGTATAAAAAACCCTGATGTCGTCGATACGACGAAAGCATGTACATTTTTCTAACAGATTCCATCGTAATGTAGCATATAGTTCTACAAGTCGTAGAAAACCTCTATTAGTACCAGAGAGCTCGAATATTAGAATGAGGAGGGGTGTTAGTATGAAAGTGGGCAAAAAGGCACGGGTTTGGGAAATTTGTACAAAAAGGTACCATCAATTGTATGAGTTGCGCTAAAATACTTTCAAATTTAGCAGGAGTCTACTTTTGACGCGAGATATCAGATAAAGTGGCAAATTTTGCAAATTCAGATAAGCTGTTTTTTTCTAATTTGTACTAAAAAGGAAGTAAATCATGGCAATGTGAGTAGAGTTACTTCTGTATTCTCATTTGTATTTTTTGTTTTTGGTCCATTTTATTGTTAAAATAATGCCATAGAGTTATGCAAAGGCTTTTCTCGTTTTTTGATCGGAGCATTACATTTACGCCTTCTGAAATGCTAATGAGAACTCAAAATAATTATTGAACATTTTGACTCCTGTAAATATATTGCTATATCTCCGTTATCTGGCTATATGCGTCAACGAAATGCGCAATAATTTATAGGTCGGGAGAGGTGTTTTCTTGTATTCGGATTTCACCCGGCCGATTAAATATAATTCAAATTGGCATGCTTCTGCCCTATTTAAACTCTAACCCTATGGTAAATTACGCGTCGCGACTGCAAAATCAGCAAAAAGACGTCGGACAAAATTTTTGATCTATAATTAAGAAAGGAAAAATGAAAATCAACCATTCTAAGAATATAAAAATCTGTGCAAAGATTTAAAGACATATCTTAAATATGGCGACCTTTATCATGATTTCAATTGAGGGAGGGACTGAGACGGAGATAGTTTAAACGATATATAATTCTACTTCGATCAAGCATTCATTATTTATGGAGTCCCCAACGAGAATTTTGAAGTGTTGCAAACTGAATAACAAAGTGCGTTTGGGTTTCCCAAAGTATTTATGCTCTCAATAATTTAAAAAAAAATTTCCATAACTGTTTCTTCCATACGAGTGGCATATATTTTGTAAAAAGTTGGGCGTTGTCAATGAAATATTGTGAAAAGATTGTATATCATATGTTAGTATGAGATTACTTTATACAACTTTTCCATTGTCCTATCCATTGTAAAATAAAGATAGGGTCGAGCATAGCAATCACCGAATATCATTTTTTTATGTACTGTTTTGAATAATAAATAAAATAATTTTAGAAATTATGTTTAAACAAAACAAGCTGTAAGTTCCGCCGAACTTTTAATACCCTCCACCATTTGGTACAAATTTGGCAATTTCCAAAAAATAAAATCCGTTTAAAATTCTGTTAATATCTTAAGAATGCCGAATGCTTTTACGACGACGTGGGCCTGCATAGGCAACTTTTGTCATAAGTTATTACAATATTTAAACGCGAAACTTGAAGAAAAATCTGTTTATAATGTAGCTAAAATCATTAAAATGCCGTATATGGGGAGTACCGTTATATGGGGGCTATAGGAAGACGTGGACCTGCACAGACAATTTTCTGGCATGGCCTGAAGTATCCATTACGAACTTCACATGCGAAATTTGAAACAATCCCGTTAAATAATGTCGTTTAAATCATCAAAATACCGAATATCGGGGGCTACCGTTATATGGGGGCTATATGAGGACGTGGACCTACATGGCTCATTTTTTGACTTAGGATTACGAATCCATTACGAACTTCAAATACCAAATTTGAAACGATTCCGGTAAACAATGTCGCTAAAATCATCAAAATACCGAATATCGGGGACCTGCACAGATAATTTTCTGTCTTAGGCTGTAGTATTCATTACGAACTTCAAATGCCAAATTTGAAACAATTCCGGTGAATAATGTCGCTAAAATCATCAAAATACTTAATATCGGGAGGTACGGTTATATGGGGGCTATATGATAACTTCGACCTACATGGCCCATTTACGATAGCGTGATTACAACAGACAGACGGACATGGCTAAATCGTCTTAGAATTTTACGCTGATCAAGAATATGTATACTTTTTTGGGTCTGACATGAGTATTTCGAGGAGTTACAAACGGAATGACAAAATTAATATACCCTCCATAGTATGGTGGAGGGTATAAAAATAAAATCCGTTAAAAATTCCTATACGACGACGTGGACCTGCATAGGCAACTTTTGTCATAAGTTATTACAATATTGAAATGCTAAACTTGAAGAAAAATCAGTTTATAATGTAGCTAAAATCATCAAAACACCGAATATAGGGGGTACCGTTATATGGGGGCTATACGAAGACGTGGACCTGCACAGACAATTTTCTGAAGTATCCATTAACAACTTCACATGCGAAATTTGAAACAATCCCGGTAAATAATGTCGCTAAAATCATCAAAATACCGAATATCGGGGGGTATGGTATATGGGGGCTATACGAAGACGTGGACCTACATGGCCCATTTTCTGTTTTATGCTGCAGTATCTATTACGAACTTCAAATACCAAATTTGGAACGATTCCGTTAAATAATGTCGCTAAAATTAGCAAAATACCGAATATCGGGGGGTACCATTATATAGGGGCTATACGAAGACCTTCATAGATTATTTTCTGTCTTAGGCTGTAGTATCCATTACGAACTTCAAATGCCAAATTTGAAACAATTCCGGTGAATAATGTCGCAAAAATCATCAAAATACCGAATATCGGGAGGTACCGTTATATGGGGGCTATATGATTTCTTGGACCTACATGGCCCATTTACGAACTTAACCTGCCTACTGGCAAAATATACATGTGTGCAAAATTTTAGCCTTCTATCTCAATTTGTTCGAAAGATAGCGTGATTACAACAGACAGACGGACAGACAGACAGACAGACCGACATGGATAAATCGTCTTAGAGTTTTACGCTGATCAAGAATATATATACTTTGTTGGGTCTGACATGAGTATTTCGAGGAGTTACAAACGGAATGACAAAATTAAAATGGTGGAGGGTATAAAAAAATATATATTATTTATGTTACAGCTTTTGGGAAGAACAATGGTTTCCGTTTTCCGGACAAAAAAGGATTGCAATTGTATTAGGAACTCGATGTTGTGAAAAATCCACGGCATTCCATGGCGTTTTATATAAAAATATTGGGAGAAAAATGTCAATAAACAAGTAAAAAAGAAGCTAAGTTCGACCGAACTTTTAATACCCTCCACCATTTGGAAGGAACTTGGACCTTCTTACGTGAACTTTTACATAGAATGGTGAAGGGTATAAAAAGTAAGGTAGAGCTATCAAGTGATTAGATTTCTTTTCTAAGTATGCCCGACTTCTGCATTTTATACCCTCCACCATACAAGGTATGGAGGGTATATTAAGTTCGTCATTCCGTTTGTAACTCATCGAAATAATCATTTTAGACCCAACAAAGTATATATATTCTAAAATTCTAAGACGATTTAGCCCTGTCCGTCCGTCCGTCCATCTGTTGTGATCACGCTACAGTCAAAACGAATTGAGATAGGAAGCCAAAATTTTGCACAGATCTGTCTTTTGTCTGCAGGCAGGTCAAGTTCGAAGACGGTCTACGATATCGTATAGCCCCCATATAACGGTACCCCCCGATATTCGGTATTTTAATGATTTTACCCACATTTTTCAACGGAATTGTCTGAAATTCTACACAAGGAGTTCTTTTTGAACACTTTACCCCCCGATAGAGAATTGTCTATATAGGTCCACAATATCGTATATCTCCCATATAACGGTAGCCCCCGATATTTAGTATTTTGATGATTTTAACCACATTTTCAACGGAATTGTCTGAAAATCCACACAAGGAGTTCCTTGTGACTACTTTACCCCCTGAAAGAGAATTATCTACATAGGTCCACGATATCGTATAGCCCCCATAAAATGGTATCCCCCAATATATCAGCGCCTTCTGAGATTAGTTATTTTGAAGCTTTTAATAGAATTTTTAACAGATTTTAAAAAATGTTTAAATCAAATATGGCAATCCTCTTTTATCGTACTCGACCTTGTCATTTTTCAAATAAAATTTATTCTATATATACTATATATGACATATTTTACAAAAGCAATTTGTTATTTCTTATCTTCGCGTCCCGTTGAGCTTAGCTATTTATTTATTACCGAGGAAGTCGAATTTTATTAATGTTTCCATGCCGACAAGTACAAAATAGTTCCGACTGTGACAAAAATGAACTTTTTAACGTATAATCATTAAAGCTTCAGAAAATTAATAACAATATATAGTAGTAAAAAATTTGTTCAAACCATATAAAACTGTAAAACTTACTAACTTGTTTTATATTTACTGCTGGTGCTGGTTAAGAGGCACTCTTGTAACAGGGAGATTATAAGATCATTGAATTTATATATAGGTTCAGGGTTGCATGTAGCTCCCATATAGCTCTCGATATTCGATAATTTCTAGGTTAAAGTCACATTTTCTAACGGATTTTTTGGTACGTTTTCATACATCCCCCATTTTTGGTATTTTGATGATTTTAGTCACATTTTCTAATGGAATTTATAAAGATACGGTACTGAGGGTTCGTATAGGATTCCACTAATTGTCACATTTTTCAACGGAGTACTTAAAAAATGGGCTAATGATTTCTTATATCATTCTTTTGAGAACTTTAAGAGTTTAATTGTTTGTATCACACATATTGTATGTACAGAGTGAGAACCATTTTCTCATGAACGTTTTTTTGAAAACAAAGACCTAAGTAAAACAAAATTTTTAAAATTGTACTGGACATTTTTTCTTAAGTAGCATTCAGTCGCAGAACGCTTGGTTCAAAATTACATCCATTACATTTCGCTTTTTTACTGGACTGGGGGGTTAATTATTTTCACAAATTCGTTGTTTGCAATGAAAAGGAAAGCTAGAGAGACACTTACACACACACACACACGCCTTCGTCGTTTGTTAAGCGGCTCATCCAGCACATTTGGTGTCGTGAATGGCTTATTATTATTTGTTCTTAAATAATTTATTAATAATACTAGCTGGACCGGTCAGTTCTGACTTATGTAAGCGGCACAATTTTTGTTATAAGTAATGACTCAATAGTAATTTCTAAATAAAAATAAATATTCATGGCAAAAATTATAATAGATGTTCACCTACCGTCGGTGTTAGATAGAATAGCCTGATTTTATTTTTCAGCCATAGGCTTTAATTTGAGTGTTAACAAGTTAAAAAACAGTACGTTCGGCCGGACCGAACCCCAAGTAGTTGGTGGTCGAAATTATGGTCCCTCGACCTGAACATTGAGCTGTGTTCTCATCTCAGCAGTCCATGTGGTAAATAATGTGGATGTTGATTTGGTGGCGGATATTTTCATATTCCTCGCATGGAAGGCGGCAAGCTCCGCGAGATAGCTGTTTACTCTGACACATATGTCATCAACTACAGGACCCGATGCCATGATCGTACAGTCATCCAAATACGTTACGATCTCGATGCCGTCTAGAGGGCGCGGAATTCCGGAAAGGTTGAGGTTAAACAGTTCCGGAGTCATCACCCCACCTTTGGGAACTCCTTGTTTCATCTACAGGGCTTGGACTTCTTATTCTAGAATTCCTACATTTCCAACATAGCCGGAGGGTAGTATTCTCAAAGTCCTCAAACAGCGTGGCAGAATGCCCTCTTGGCATAAAAGTATGAAATCTAAAAAATCACTTAAAAAGATGCCAATAATGATGTTAATATAGATTTTGTAGTATTTTGTGACATATTTTTATTTTTTAATTTTTTTGAAGTATACATTTTGTAATATTTTTTTACCTTACAACACAGGATGGGGTTATTATATACAGATTGTCATTATCGTCCAATACTCACGAAAATTTTCACAAGGGTAAGGTTAGGCTCAGGAGGGTCTATAGGCTCAGATAGGTCTACTATTGTTTTTTTAAGATGTCCATAATATATTTAGGGTTTGAAATGGACCAACAACTAAAAATGACCCTGATTTTGCCTTTATAACGGTCACAAATAGAAACCAAAGGACACGAACTTTCGCATGAAGTTAGAGTTTAGGACAGCGGGTAGAATGGACCACTACTTTTGTGTGAAAAAATACCAACATTAGTTACAGGCGATATCCGAAATACACAAAAGGCGAACTTCTGGCTTTTTTGTGCTGATTTCGTTGACGAATATAGACAAATATCTTAGACAAGGAAATCATATAGATGAGTCTAAATTTGGAGATACAGAGGGACCTCTTGCTTTAGGAGATGATCGCAAAATATTAGGGGTTCAAATGAACCGAAAACAGGAAAAATTTCAGGATCACACAATTGAAGCTAACATCCCCTTCCCTTGTATAAACACATTGTATATATTGCGCCATATAAATCCGATATATTTATTATCAGGATATATATAACGGTCAGAATTGGCCTGTTCGTCTATTTTTGATTTCGCCGTGATTAAAAATATTCGCGGTTGAATGGAAAATTTGACTTTTATTTAACACATATGTTATGGTCTATTTCACCCACTAAATATTACCCGATGACCTTCAAAAGCCCTAAGCTCTAGCCCAAGCTATCTTCCGTGTCGATTGGTCTATAATTGCGACCTGTAGAGCAACTACAAAATCAGGAAATTGGTCCATTTCAACCCCTAACTATTAAGCAGTAGGCTTCTTTTCTGGACATAGCCCCTACCCCATTCTAAATTGCGACCTGTAGAGTGATTACAAATTAAAATGGACAGACGGACGGACATACATAGCTAGATCGACTCAGCTCGGAAGATCCATATATACTTTCCTATGTGGGAAATCAATATTTCGAGGTGTCTGTGAATACCCCCTCCATTTGGAACGATTTTGGCAATTTTCAAAAAAATATAATATGTTGAAAAATTTTGTTAAAATCTTAAAAATACCGTTATATTAGGATCTATACGACCCTATTACCTATAATAAAAGGTAATTATTACGGTACGCTAAAAACTTCTGTGTTAAAAATGTAATGATACCGAAGACCGATATATAGGGGTTATATGATATCACGTACCTATGTAACACATCTTTGAACTTGACCTGTCTGCAGAGTGGTTATACCCTACATAATATGATGGATCATTCCTTACTTATCTCTCAACTCCCGGTTCATACAGCTGTTTCGACATCATCATAGGGATTACGTCAATACCAAACCCTTAGGTGACATAGCACTTCTTATGAATGTAAAACAACTTCCATCGTAAATTGTGGTGGTAAATCCTCAGCTAGAAGAGATCGAATACAGTGTAAAATTTTTCTCTTAGACCTGACACTCGCGTACCCCTTCGGATCTCTAACTTATACGCTGTTAACCCGCACGGTACTTGAGTTATCCTTCTTCTTTCTGGGTTCGAGAACGATAATTTACTCAATCTGATACTGATGTTGCAATACTTCAGACACCCTAGTGAAATTTTCGGTTTATACTCGCTAACTAAAATTTCTTTTCGATGACTAGGTTTCGTGTTGGAGATTATCACGCTCATTAGCTAGATCCGATGCTCTTTACTAATAAATTTGTTTTATCTCAGGTGTTCGATCAACAGGTACAGCTAGCGGCAGTAATTGATGTTCTGGTTCAGAAGTTATAAAGTCTCGTGTTGATATATAACGTACAATTAAACGAAATTGTATGTACCAAAACGTGGACCGATATTTCTCATTTTCAATACCAACCATCCTAGATACAATAAAAATTATTCTGCTAAATTTTGACGCTCTACGTCAAATAATGTGGGCTGTATCGTAATTTCAACAGACAGACAGAAGGACAGACAGACGGACATCGTTAAATCGTCTTAGAATTTTATGTTGGTTATGAATATATATACATTATGGGGTCTACGACGAATATTTAGGGATGTTACAAACGGAATGACAAAGTTAATATACCCTCCTTTCAAAGGTGGAGGGTATAATTATCAATATGGATTTGATACAATTGAAAATAATTTTACATTTGGCAGAATAGATAGCTTGTCAGCTGTAACAAACTAATTTATATAATTTTTCCAATATGCTCTTGCTTTAAATACTAACCAACGACAGTTAAAACAAATAATAATGACATTTATGTTTCTTCGGTTATCTAGGTATACAAAACGAGTTACCCTATTTACTCCACTTCAACATACACTCGTGGAGCTCGTGTGATATCTTCCCCTGTTCGGATTGTTTCGTCCCCGAGTCGCATCATCACTCGTGTCATTCGATCTCCTTCCCCAGTTCGTGTTGTCCGATCGACCACTACTCGTGTAATTACTTCGCCTGAAAGAGTCACCTCATATACTTATACGACACCGTCGACATATGCGTCGACCTACCTTCCCTCAACATACACATCTTATAGACCATACTATCCAACTTCCTACTCATCTAGTTATCTTCTTCCCTCATACTATTATACACCAATTAGTCGTGTATACACGCGATCATTGTCGCCTGTAAGAATAATTACATCTCCAGTACGCAGTGTTTCAGTATCTCCATTGTATTCGAAGAGATATATGCCGGGATATGGTGACCGCGCCTTGACTTCCTACCTCACCACTGAACCGTTCACGGCAAGTTTATGACGTTTACTACGTGTTCGAAAATAAACAATACACTAACACAAGGTACCCAAACACTAAAATATGTCTTTGCGTCATTCCAAAATATGATTATTGTGGTTCATTCTGATGTGTTCATGTATGGAGCAATACTTAATGTCACGAGTCTAGGACCAATATTTCGAGATGTTTTTTTGGAAAAACTAAACAATAATACCCCCAAACACATAGTGTTGTAGAGTAAAAATAATAGTTAATTAAATTTAAATAAATAAATAATTAAACTTGGATGAAAATTATCTCGCGTAGAGATTTTATAATTAGGAAAACATATAAACCATCAACACGTTTTAAATTAATATTGCATTCCAAGACGAAATAAAACAGTTTAATTATTTGTATACATAATGTAATGATTGCTATATCAGACAAGTAACAGAAAAATGTTCTTTTTTGTGTAAAAATCGTGAAATAGTCATTTATAAATTAAATATCAATAAATCGTTAAAATGGCGATAAATCGTCAAATCTGACAACAGTGGTTGTGCATTGAAAATGTGTGTTTTGGGTATGCTAGAATACAAACTATAAAAAATATTTTGGATTTGTGTACCTGTGTTTTAGCTTTACATGGTATATGGTGCAATGTTTGTTTTCGAGTTCTAATTTGATATAAAGGATTCCAAAGCATGTATCGTCGCAAAACGCACTATCTTATGTCTCTCTTGTATTTTTATGCATATAGACTTTTCGGGAAGAGACTGGAAAGATCAGGCATAGAGCTCAATCACTAATTCGAGATTTGCACACTCCAGTTCCACGCCGCAATCGCAGTTGCACTCCGTTCCCAGTAAGCAGGTAAGTTCGGGTTTGGTATTTACTTGCTATATCTTCCAATTTATATTTATCACTCTAGTTACGAACCATCATCAGAGTTAGCGCTTGATGCTTATGTCTCCCGTATTACAAACCCAGTTCGTCATATAGCCAAGGAAGTTCACCGAATGTCTATGTATCCTGATCCACCACGCAAATATGTTGGTATGTATAAAATTAGAATTTAAGTTACTGTAAGGTAACTTGGCATTTTAATGGACCAATGGGATTGCTATTTTTAACGATGATACATTATAACACGTTTCGGATATTTTTCATAAATTTTAATAAAACAAAAGGGAGAAGCCATCTATCATCCATTCGAATTTGTGGAAAAAAGGCTTATGATATTCGAAGACCTATGTACGATAGTGATAAAGTACATACTGACATTAACATTTTGTCTCGATACTTAAGGGAGAAACAACTAAAAGAAAAGTGTGAACAATCGCATGAAAAGTCCACAGAGAATGTGGCAACATGTAAGTAGTACACCGACTTTCCAAAAAGACAGAGCATTCATTCATGCATTTCAATCGCATATGGCACACTCTATGTTACAAATATTAACCATTTTCAATGAATGGTTGTTCGTTCTCAATGGATTATCTTACTAGCCACCCATCGATTCAGAATAGTCCTTAGTGACCAAGTGTTCGTTTGAAAGTGTAGGGGTATTATTAGCTTTACCTTAAATAAAATTTTCTGAAAAACAAGGTTAGGCAATAAAACATGTTTACCCCTGTGTTAATAGTCCAGATATTAATCGAATTCCATTAATGTTAAATATATCATTTATATTGTTGTTGCAAAATGGTCAGGCTTATCCCTTATTGTTGTTTTTATAAAAACAACGTTTGTTTATTAGTGGAGAACGATGGTAATGTTTACCAGGGGGTAAGGCAGGGAATACCTAGGTTTCGGAAAGAGCCACCAATCCTCATCAGTTCCCTTGTTTTTGTCTGGGATATTCTCCCCAGAAGTTATTTTAAAAATAACTTCTATGACAAAAAACATTTTTTTTTACCCAAGTGACGAGATCGTAAGCTCAATAGAAGAGGAACCAAAGAATTATATAAAACTAAAATTATTTTGGAAAGTCTTCTAAATCTTACAACCGCACTTATAAACATTTTCATCTTTCTCCACTTAACCAAGAGGAACATTACCATCGTTCTCCACTAATAAACAAACGTTGTTTTTATAAAAACAACAATAAATGGATAAGCCTGACCATTTTGCAACAACAAAATACTACGGTATCCCGAACAAACAAGCCACACTGTTCTATTTATAGACAAGGCACGGTCGACGAAGGGGTTTTTGTTGTAACAGACAAAACCAACTTACATGGTTATGCTACTTGGTTCAGGTTGAACGAAAGCATAACAAGTGGAGAAAGATGAAAATGTTTATAAGTGCGGTTGTAAGATTTAGAAGACTTTCCAAAAGAATTTTAGTTTTATATAATTCTTTGGTTCCTCTTCTATTGAGCTTACGATCTCGTCACTTGGGTAAAAAAATGTTTTTTGTCATAGAAGTTATTTTTAAAATAACTTCTGGGGAGAATATCCCAGACAAAAACAAGGGAACTGATGAGGATTGGTGGCTCTTTCCGAAACCTAGGTATTCCCTGCCTTAAACCCTGTTAAACATTACCATCGTTCTCCACTAATAAACAAACGTTGTTTTCATAAAAAACAACAATAAAGGGATAAGCCTGACCATTTTGCAACAACAAAATACTACGGTATCCCGAACAAACAAGCCACACTGTTCTATATCATTTATATATTTCCAAAAAAGTAACGCGTGTATCATTTTCAGTAAAAAATTAAGCTGTATTCTGAATTATTTATCTAAAATCTTTATATTTGCCAGATAATGAAGATATCGGTTTGAAAATTATTACACGAGATACTGTTGACTTTCCCTCCAAACTTAGGAATTTATTTGGGCGCTAGGGAACTGACCACGCATATATATATCTATATATATAAATGTAAGTTGTGTTAGTTACTACGCTTATAACTTACGAACCGCTGGACTGATTTTAACGATTCACACAAATTCGGAGTTGTCTCCTCTCCGAAAAGGATAATATCCAAAAAAATCGCGTACAAATGCGATATATTAACATTTTCATTCTGACTTTTCAAATGTACAATAGTAATGTTTTATTTTGCATGATTTTTTTCCATTTTGACTTACTTTTTTCTAATGTACATTTGTAGTGTTTTTTATATATATATATTTTTTTTTTGTTTTTTGAATTCGAATATTAATACCAATTTATTTAATTGACTTGGTTTCTTGAGATCTTAAATTGATGGCGGGTTACATGGAAGTGCAGTACCGAATTATGTGGTGGCGAAACGGAATAGATGATATCGATATAATTTAACGCGGTCACACCAAAATAAAGATAATTATTAATTAAAAGATAATTACTTTTTCAAAATCGCTAAAAATCACGAAGAAGAGATCTCATTGCATAAATTCTCAAATCGGGAAAAAATCCAAAAAATTTTCAGTGGAATCGAATTTTAAAATAATGGTAAGGGTCTTTAAACATTTGCTGTAATACATCAGCGAACAAGTTGACGATTTTTTCAATTTGTTATTCTTCTTTTGTAATTTTTTTTTTCCAATTTGTATTATCATATTGAATTCAGGGGATTTTTTGTGAACAAAATAAAGAATAATTTTTACCCATATACAATTTTTCACCAAAAAAATTAAAGAAGTGCGAAATACGATGTTAACTGACATCTACCTTTCAACTACAGGGCCGACATCGTGGTTTAGATGGAAGATGCGAACACATTTAAACAAACAAAAATGACAGAAAAAACCTAATGGAGCTCATTTCAAAGCGTGAACCTAATTCTTTCATGTGACAATGATCCGTCCAATGAGAGCTCAAAATGCAAAATTCTTTGGGAGTACAGCAGTAAAATACCAAATATAAAGGGTAGAAAATAGTAGAGCGAATGAGACTTTTAGTAAGAAAAGGATTTCTATCCTTCCAGAAATTCTTCACAAACATTCAAGATACCTTAAATCACTTTTGCAGATCATGATATCGCACGATAAGGGTACATCCCGATTTCATATTTATATAACCATCATATGATTTGAGCTATTTTTGAGGTCTGGGGCACTTTTTTCATTGTTTGGCCCTTATTTGGCATCTTTGTCTCTAAGGGGTTAGGGAACTATCATACAGATAATTGCCACATGGGAATTTATTTAAGTAAAGTCCTCACATTGGAGTATCCTCAAGTCCACTTTCACCTATAATGTGTGGTCAGAAAAGAAAATTTTGTATTCTATTGAATTTGTAACTCCCAAGAGAATATTGGTTGGAAACGTAGTTTTTTGATGTACATCTATATGAAATAAATTGTGGAAACATGAACAAGTTACAAGTATATGAAAATAGCACGGGACCGAATATTTGTTGAATCGTCATTGAATTATACTAAGATGAAAAATATGGTGTATAAAACTATTTTTACTCATTTTTAATCACGCGAAATTTTTTTCAGTTTGCTATATTTTTGATTTTGTCTCTATTTGTCATATTGGATAATAAGGGGTAGAAGAATGTTTTCAATGTACCTCCTGGTTTTTCCATATTTCAAAGGATTTGGCTAAAAATGTGTTTTTGGGGGGGGGGGGGGTTGTGAAAATCTTACACAAAAATTTGAACAAATTTTAGAATTTTTTCCATATAATAGTACCCCCTCAAGTCCACCTTTTGGCGGACAAACAGACCGACATGGTTAGGGGGACTATAAGATCTTTAATGGACAATCTGTGATGCTAATGGCTTTAAAAAAGTAATTAACTTTGGCTATTCTTAATTCATTCAGCTCTCAATTATGAGGTGTACAAAATACAGCAAATTCCAAATTATTGCTCATTTGACTGCAAAATTTTGCTACGATTTTTACTATACTAAAAATTAATTTGATCCCTTACATGGGGATAAGATTGATATATACTTTTTAATAGGTTTGTATAGCACATCCACACCTTTGAAGCCCACGGTTTAAATATTTAAAACACTTTTAATCGACCAGTACGCGAACACTTATATCAGTCATATCTGAGAATAATTGTGTTTTGACATATATGCATAATAAACAAAAACTACGGGCCGGCAACGCGGACCGGGCCAGCTAGTATATATATATATATATATATATATATACATATATATATATATATATATATATATATATATATATATATATATATATATATATATATATATATATATATATATATATATATATATATATATATACATACATATATATATATATATATATATATATATATATATATATATATATATATATATATATATATATATATATTTATATATATAAAAGAAAGTTGTGTTAGTTACTACGCTTATAACTTAAGAATCGCTGGACTGATTTTAACGATTCACACAAATTCGGAATTGTCTCCTCTCCGAAAAGGATAATATCCAAAAAAATCACGTAAAAATGTGATATATTAACATTTTCATTTTGACTTTTGAAATGTACAATAGTAATGTTTTATTTTGCATGATTTTTTTTTCCATTTTGACTTACTTTTTTCTAATGTACATTTGTAGTGTTTTTTATATTTTATTTTTGAATTTTTATTTTGAATTAATTGACTTGATTTCTTGAGAACTGATATTGATGGCGGGTTACATGGAAGTGTAGTGCCGAATTATGTGGTGGCGAAATGGAATATCGAAATAATTGAACGAGGTCACACCAAAGTTAAAGATAATTACTTTTTCAAAATCGCTAAAAAATGACAAAAAAGAGATCTCATTGCAAAAATTCTCAAATCGGAAAAAAATCTAAAAAAATCATTGGAATCGAATTTAAAAATAATAGTACATTCTATTGACAATCTTTACAAGGATCTTTAAACATTTGCTGTAAAAAATCAGTGAACAAGTTGAAGATTTTTTCAATTTGTATTATCTTATTGAATTCAATGGAATTTTTTGTGAACAAAATAAAGAATAATTTTTCAATCTATATAATTTTTACCAAAAAATTAAATAAGTGCGAAATACTATGTAAACTGTATTTCAACTCCAGGGCCTACACCGTTTTTCAGCTGGAAGATGCGAACACATTTAAACA